TTAGATTTGCATTTCTGATATAGACTTTTTCAATCTTCAGAAATTGAACCATTTTAGTTCTGAACTTTGGCAAAGATTATTTATTATTTGTTGAGTCAACATTTTGAGACAAATAAAAACAAAACAATACAAGCAGTCTAATTAAAATTAGCCGCAACATTTCCATCTTTTTTTTATTGGCTTTTAAATTCAATATAGCCAAATTCGTAAAATTAATCTTTTGAACTTAATCGATGACATCTGCTTTAACCAATCAAATTTCTACCCTCTCTTTGTGACATGGTGTTTATCACGTTAGGTTAAAAGGTTAATTTGATGAACCTTCAAGAAGGCTGTCATCAGACCCTAACTGATGTGGCTATATTCAAAATAAAAGCTCATAAATAAAATGAATGAACGAAAGTTTAATCTTAATTAGACTGGCAGACACGTTGGTTTTTTAATATACAAGTCAAGTCAACACATTGTACAAATTTAAAAATATTTAACAACATTCCATACTTTTCCATGCTTCATGTTGTTTTTCCAGTAGCCTTCATATAATGCTCCATTAGCATATCTAAAAGATCCAAAACCATGGCGTAATCCATTCACAAATTCACCATCATACATATTTCTTAAAGGATATTGAGAGGAATGATTTCTTCTTAATAACCAAATATGCTGACCCATTCCATGCTGAAACATTAATAGATAGTCTTAAATAATTGCCATTTTATTGTTATATCTGGGATGCATAATTTAATAATGAAATGAAAGCAGTTTTACGTCCTACTTTTCTGCACCATGTCGGCTTATGAAATTTTGTCTGGACAGCAGCATTAGCCTGCTCTTTTTCGATTTCCAACTGTCAATATATCTTTAATGTGCACAGTCTGTACCACACAAGGCCTCGATTTATTGTTCCATACGAACAACTAGAGGCTTATTCCATATCAGCCTCTCTTAACTGCATCATTTCCATGTCAGCCCCTCCGACCTACATAACTAGCATTTGGAAACAAGCTTGAAAAGTCAGATTGCATCATCTTGACCTATGTAGGGATTGAACCTAGCCAAAGCCCCTAGAATACAGACTAGTATTGAAGGACTTTTCCTTAAAGTATTTCATTATCATGTGCTAACCTTGCTATATCAACTTACCTGAATTCCATTCTCCCACTGTCCAGTATAGATCTGGTCTTTATCTATCCATTTCATAGATCCTTCACCATGACGAACATTATTAAACCACATTCCTTGATAGACATTACCAGACGGGTATTGACGTAAACCCCAGCCATGTTTGATATTATTTAACCAATCACCATCATAGAATGATTTACCTTCACCATCATATTCCATTCTTCCCTAGATTGAATTAAAAAATATATATATTCCTCTATCCAACAACTACATTGGCTACAACTCTGTTTAACTAAATGAATAACCATTAAAAGCCAGCTTCAGGTCCATCCACAATTTTAAAAAAAAAATCAGTTGTATGCCTAGTTCAGATACTTCAAATGACACTCTTTTTTAGATTTGACAATTTTTAACCATTTGAAATGCTCCTTCAATTCATGATCAGCTGATATTTTGTGAATACAAAAATGCCTAAATCATGGAAGCTCATCACATGTTTTTCCTCATCAGGACAGCTAATTTTAAAATGGAGCTTTACTTTCCAAAAGGCTAAAAAAAAGCTTGTTATGGGTGAGGGAAATAAAGATTAAGAATTCTTGTTCCTGTGCATCCAATAGTATAGCACTTAAGATCCATGATAATGGCAAGTCCAGGGGATTTAACCCAACATATCCTTGGGTACAGGTTTCACCATTTTCAGGGGTTTATTTGGGTCTTACATATAATTCTGTAAATAGTCTTCAGAATTACTGGATATATGCGAAAATCACATAATTCCTTTAAAAATACTTCAAACTAGGAATTTAACTTTTTATTTCTATATATGTTTTTTCTATATACATGGCTTAAGAAAAGACAAGTCGGCATTTCAACATTCAAAAGCTAAAAAAATTCTCATCTGAGACTAGGATACAATTGGGCAAACAGATAGTGAACGTGTCCCTCTAACAAATTAGAATAAAAAAACAACACACCTTGCCATTTCGTTTACCATTAATCCATTCACCAACATAAGATACTTGATAATGTGGACATCTAAAGGTACCATCACCATGTCTCTTGCCTTCCTCTACATCTCCTTCATACCAACTGAAAATTATCAGATAGATGCATTTCTGGTTGCTCATTTTGATAACATTTTGATTGTGAAAATCAGACTGTTTTTTAAATGAAATAAAGTCAACAAGGCATGGATTCCAAATGGAAATAGAAAAGATCAGCTGAGGTCAAGAGGGCCATTAGCTCTTAAGTAGGTTATAGGGAAATATTTCAACTATTTTAGGGTCTCTAAAACCAAATTTTAGAGGTTTTATTCCATTATACCATGTATATATAAAATACCACTGGCCTAAAAAAATAAGAGGAATTCTGGGATTCCTGACAAAGACTACTTTCTTATTTGACATTAATAGAAAAACCAAATTGACATCACAATATTAACAAAAACCCATATATTATTGTACACTAGGAAATATCATTGAGTACAATTCCTGTTCCTAAGAACCTTGCACACACTCGCCCTGTAATAAGATGGGCAATTCCATATATATACATTTCTCTATGAATGACATAGCCAACATAAAGCAGTTTGAAAATTAATTTCAGCTTACCTCCCATCAGTCCAGGTATAAATTCCTTTTCCAGTGATAACATTATTCACAAAATCTCCCTGAAACAGAAATTAATCATTGTTTATTGAACAGCCATTTCAAAAAAGTCTTTGTAAAATATTGCAAATCATTTGAATTGCAGAAATAACTCAAATTTGCAATGTTTGAGACATTTTCTTTGAATTCAATGCAATAGTGAAGATTCTTAGACCATTATTGTACTTAATTTATAAGCTTATAAGATATTTCAAGCTGATTCATGCAGCATATTTTTTGGATAATAAACTAGCTTCTGCCATAAGTTTGGTTATACCTGAAAATCTGACATTAGATCTTACTTGATTGTTTGGAGAGGCAAGAAATATATTTGGAGGGGTAATGGTGTATGGTGTTTATTTGTAGTAATGGAATTGTGGTCATTTGTCAAAAGTATTTCAGGGTGGCAATCTATTTGTTTGGGGGATGGGGGGATGCCCCCTGTAGCTCCAGGCATGTTAGATCTACGTGTATATAAGCTTATTTGATATATTAATCAGAAATTGAGGATTGAGGATTGAAGTACAGTCAGAATTACAACAATATTGAATTACCTCATAAGTGACTCCATCAGCCCAAATATATTTTCCTTTTCCATTCATAAGACCTTCAGAAAACTGGCCCTGATAAAATAAATCAAAACAACAAAGTTAGTAAAGGGTGTGATTTAAAATATTACCGGTACCGTAGCAGCAGTAAGAATTCATTTCACATCAGCAGGATTTTTCTTTACCATTCAATGTTCTAAAGACCCATCTATATTTTTTGCAAGTGTGTGGCAAATAGAACATAGCTGGTTAAAATTTTGATATTCAAGCCCCATACATTAGCCCAAGTCCCAAGCTTATGGCTAATAACCAGTGAGCTAAAAGAATTTGTATTCCTTTTTCATTTATTCTTGAATGTAAGAAATCAAAAGGTTACCTTGTACGAATGTCCTCCTTTATAAACCATAGAACATTCTCCATCATATTGTCCTTTTACTAATTCACCTTCAAAACTGAAAACAATAGATTGAGAATCATTACTAACTGCTGCAAAAGGTCAAAGTGTAAAGACACACGCTCAAGATCTGTTCTCAGAATGGATAGCGTTTACACTACAAATTTTATATGTTCACATCTGAGAACTGTTCCTGAACCACATTGCCTCAGAAGTCATGAATTGGAAGTATTCAGTTCACATGACTATAGCGTAGTCTAGTACAGTCAAATAACCTAATTTCGTGGAAACCTATTATTCGTGGATTTCCGGAAAGGATTAATAATTTACATGAGCGACCTTGCGTGACCTCCGCATTAGTTTGTTTTGATAAACATGGGTTTTCTCTACAATATCAGCTAGTAGAATGAATCCAGTAGTTTCAAGCAAGGTAAAATGTATTAATGTATACTTTGACAAATACAAAATGGCGGATTTAAGTTATTACCAAACGTCACCATTTTTTATCGGCCGTATTTCCTTATAATCCCAAGCGGTAATCGGAATTCCAAGTGTCGTCTGCTAGAATGTATTCCAACGAATGAAGTCACATGATCAACTAGCGGATTCTGTGTCAGCAGAAAATTTCTATGGAACACAAAGTGGGCCATATTCTTATGTTGTTTCAGTGACTTTTAGCAATAAATCACGCTACGTATCTTATTTTGTCCGTCACTATTTCTTTTTTAAGTCGTGGTTCTTTGAAGGAATTGTCACTAGTTATAATGAATTGATATTAAAGATAAATACTAAGAGAAGTTAATTATACCACCCGGTATCCATACAACTTGTTTTTCTTGACTTATTTATAGATCAAACATTGTACACGAAAATAGGTGACGCATTCTGCCGCCGTTGCCGAGTTGGTTGCTCATGAAATATGGGTCAAAGTGAAGGATTCATACAGAAAATCGAAATAAACCAATTTTAATTATTTTGTAGAATATCTGAGGAAACATCTAAAACATAAAATTTTTTTTCGTTTTTTTGAACTTTGACGAAATTCGGTGTTGAATCTTTATATCCACGAAAATAGGTTACACCACTGTACTAAGTTTTCATCTATTTCCTTCTTGGAACTGTTCCTGAGATAATTTTAACAGAGACCAGAGATTAGACCCTGGTATAAGAAAGGATTGACAAGTTTCAAATGTTGAAAATAATAAGAATTTACCATTCTATAATTAATTTTGGTAAAATAGGTTCTTCATAAACCGGTTCTGGAGTAGGTATTTTTGGAGGTTCCACTGGAACTTCAACAACAGGTGTTTGGCCCTCTGGGGAATTTTCTTCTGATGAGGGGGATAAAGTTTCGTCCTTTTTTTCTTCACTTAGAGACGGTTCTTCGCTTTTTTTGCCACTTTTCTTATCATTTTCTTTACCCTTTTTTCCTTTACTTTCCTTCGTTGCCATGTTGAATCGAATGTCAACAAAATCTCTTGACTGCCTCGCACTGAATGGTATACCAAAATTTAGGACACTAATATTGTAATAAGAAACCAAATATGAAACGAAATAATTTTCATTCATTATAAGACAAAATGAAAAATATTATATGACTATAGATTGTCAAATACGTGGTTTATGAAAGTAAAAAGCATTTGATATCTTTAATAAAATGTTTTTGTAATAGTATTTTTTGGAATTTATTCACCTCGACATTTGAACGGAAGTGGCTTTGTTTACTAATAATAATCAACATGGCGGAAGAATCGTCTGCACTTTTGCAATTTATCTGTAATTCATTGAGTATATTTGTAATTACAGTATGTATAGTTATAAAACTACCTCAGATTCTATCATTGATAAAAGCGGGCAGCAGCAAGGGCCTTAGTTTAAGTAGTGTCCTTTTAGAAGAGTGCGGGTAAGTGATTTACTTTGGAAAATAAAGTAATGTTGACAACATCTTGAAATAGTTGAAATTGAACATGTCAATGTAAAAACCTTTACAACTGCCTGAAAGGAGTGCAGGTAACACTAATCTAGCCCTTGTCATAGATCTATTTATACTAAATAGGGAGTTAAGGAAGGGGAATTGTGTTTAGATTTTGGCCCAATACAAATTTCAATATTCCTCTTCTTACACTTGCTGTGTGAAGCCTTTTACCTTACCATATCGGACACCAACCTGATGATCTATCAAAATATTGAAGAACAAGAATTGGTAGTGAATATGCTTGTATGAATATTTACTTTTTATAAACCCGTTTTTAAAATTATTTACATTGTGTCCATACACATTGTGTATTCGGTTAACTTGGTGACATGTCAACTTGAACTCGGGGACAAATTTTTGTTGGTTAACATCACTCCGCGACACTATTTGCCGAGTCATTACCTGCATGTTTTTGAAATTTCTGATTTTCAGGTACTCTATTATGTTAACATATCACTTTGCAAGAGGTTATCCAATAACTACATATTTTGAATACACATTTCTTGTTTTACAAGGTAATTATTTTTAAAGAGCTACAGTTTGATCATTATGATCGTGATAAAGTCAAAATATTCGGTTGGTTCTGTTTTAAAGCTTCAATATTCTTTTAAACGGATAGCTTTAGTATGTGCAGTAATCTAAGAGTAGACATACCAAAAGGGTCAATAAAACTAGTCGAATATTAATTTTTTTGTGGGTGGCCTGTCAATCCAGAGAGTCGAGCATCTAATGACATGATCAGATTATCAAATTTCGAAATATGATGCTACAGGGCGAATTGAAATACAGATTTGTAAAGTGATCTCAAAATATATTTGGAGAACAAAACGTCACATTATGTTGAATATATAATTATAAAGGAAATGAGCATCGCTCATTGATCTCTTTATTTCTATTGAGTTGGTTTGTTTTTCAGATTTAATAATTATTTTACTGATACTGGGTTATGATGATAAGTTTGGAATCAGTACATTAGCTTATTTTGCATCGTATCCTTCAAAACTTGTAAAACTTGATAACTTTCAGTCATCAAGCATACGATTCTTGGATGTAGTCCAATGTAGAGTGATTGAAAAGTTTTTTGGCCTTTGTATACAGTATTTTTGCGACGCGTATCGCTTTTATTTGAACCATTCTGATAGCACGTCATTGGTCTTTGTAGCACTTGAAAATCTTATGAAACAGAATTGAGACAAACTTCACGAATGCGAAATGTGGTACAAAAGTATAAGCAACATTAAATTTACAAATCTGTCAATGAAAGTGAGAATGGCTTTGGGGATCTTGTAACAATATTTCATGTATTTCAATGCAAAGAAGCATAAAGTATTATTTTACGTCCTTATCTCTTACTACAAGATATTTATTTGTTTTTATAAGTTTTTCCATGGGTATGGTACCAGATATTTTTTTGACTACAGCTATTGTAAGTATATCATTCATTTATTCAGTTTTATACCAGTACCAGAGTTGAAGTGTAAATGTGTGCTCATAGGGATATAGTTCTCTAACTATGTGCTGGATTTAATCCTTCGACTACTCTGAGACTTGATATTTGCGAATTGGAAAGAACGTTTTTATGTCGCTGATTGCAATAAAAAGGCCATGAATCATAACTTTGATTCTTTGTAGCATAGATCAGTCTTAAAATTTCGCATGTGTTTCTTTTTTTTTTAGAGTTTATGTACACCTTTAGCAATGTCAAGTAAATTAATACAGCTATTTAAAATAGTGAAAAATCAAGATCCAGGCCAAGTTAGTGCCACAACATGGGGACTGGCATTCTGTTCCACTTTTGGTAAATATTTTTTTGTTCTTAATCAGGGGAGCAGTCGGCATTTTCGGGGATTGGTTTGGGTCTTTAGAGTGCTATGATAGTCTTATGAAGTACTAAAACATACGAATATAATATAATCCCTTCAAATATACCTCAAACTAAAAATTTCACTGTCTATTCCTATATATGTGTTTTCTATATATGGCATAGTCTCACTAAAATTCGAGTCGAATTGAACGTGAATAATTATGGATACACATGGATTTGAAGGTTCAAATTTCGACGATGAAATATATCTGTTTCTGAAACTAACGTATGATTGGTCGAACGTATGATTAGTCGAACGGATAGTGAAGGTGCATCTTTAATCTGTGTTAAGATGATGAAAAACCTGACGTTCTTTTCAGACATGCTGATCATTTAACATTATTAGTTGCTTTAAAAACACATACATGAAAGGGATTGTTAAGAGGTTTTCTGTTTTATGATGTCACTAATTGCGAAGTCCTTATGTTATAAAGCATATTTTGCGATTAGTGACGTCATCAAATACTTAGTTTTGGTGGAATTGCAGGAACCACAGACGTCTGATTGAAAATTGAAATCGTGTGAATTGATGCTATCAGTGTTCACATACATACAATTTTTTAGAAAACCTCTTTACAATTCCTTTAAGGCACAAAATGTTTGGCACCACTCATATAGATGGGACTGATGACTTTGATAAATTTGAGAAAGTTTCATTGACAGCTCATGTAGCCTTACATTTCTTGATCAAAAACGTGAAATGATAATGGTAAATGGGTCACAGTATAACTCTTACAGCTTTCCAAACTAAACACATGGTTATCTTACACTCATGATAAGATATCATGAAACACTGAGTGTACTAAATAAACTAAATAAGATTAATATGTCCATCAACCATGTCATTTTGAAATGAACTTTAAAGGGACTGTAAAGAGGTTTTCTAAATTTTGTATGAGTATCCGGGACAATGAAAGCATCAATTTGATCCATTCCAATTTTCTTTTATTACGTCACCCTCGCAAAAGTCTGATGTGATACAAGCAAAATTTGCAGGGATGATGTCATAAAACACTTGGTTTTAGTGGAATTGCAGGAACCATGGACGTCTGATTGAAAATCAGTGTTCCCGATAAGCATACAAATTTTTAGAAATCCTCTTTACAATCCCTTTAAATACTGAAATTTACCATTTGTATTGATTGAACTTTAAAACTGTTTTTTGTGAAACCGAATTGGAAGGCAAGTGGGTAGCATCTCTTATATACCAATCCACAAAAATAATAGATTTTATATCATTTTTACAGCAAGATGTATAACAACATTGATACAGACTGGTGATAAGGCTGTGTTGATAAACTTCTCATTAAGTTGTTTTCTTAATTTCTCTTTAACATCATTAGTCATATATTATAGACATGATAAAAAGAAGAAATTTTATTGATCATTTTTATATTTTTATAATAAAATACTGCAACACTTTAATTCATTATGCTTATACCAATATCTAAAAGGAATAAGCGTTTTTATGAGATTCAATCGACTCGATCGATTTACAGGGGTAAAGAGGTTTTTCTAAATTTTGTATGTGTATCGGCAGCACTGGTAGTATCAATTTGCAGTTTGCATCATTCCAATTTTCCAATCAGACATCTGTGGTTCCTGCAATGCCACTAAAATTAAGCGTTCGATGAGGTCAATAATCATAACTCGTATAAATTGCAAGTGTAACATGATTTATAACTAAAGTAATATGCTATGATGTTAGCTTGAAAACTAAACCCCAATAAAACACTTTGCAACGTTTGTATGTGATTAACAAAAATAACAGCCATATGACTCTCCTTTATTTTACATTCTACAAACGATATTCCTGTATATTCAATCTACAAATTTTTACTTAAAAAAAATCTCAGTACACATACCGCAATAAAAAAAAACTCCTCAACTCATGATCGAAAGGTGATGCTTAAATGTGTTTAAATTTTTTTGGGGGATTTTTTTTAAAACGATTTTAAATACACTGTATTATGAAATGATTTTGAATTTGAATATTTGTGATAAACGTAACATGAAAGATGGGTGGTACTGAAATAATTCAAAAGGTAATTTTATTTCAAATATCAAAAACACACTTTAATGATTGAAATGGTAAATGAATATATCCAATTGAATAACTTAAAGAAAGAGAACATTTGAATCATATGATATTAATGGTTGAAAATAAAATAATGTTCATAGCGTAACATGAAAGAGAGATGATTTACTTAAAATAATGTTATATCAAATTTGTATATTAATATAATAATTAACACATTCAAAACANAAAAGAGATT